GGTTTCAGCAAGTTTGCCATTACTACTTTCGACTAATTTATGTCGAGGATAAAACGCAATAGAGTCGTCGGCAGCTTTTATAAGATATCCATTACCTTGCGTAGAGTCTACGATATAATAATTTCGACTTAACCTTAAACGTTTCTTTGTCAACGGTTTGTCGTCAAGAACTACACGAACTTTTGTACCAGGAATGAGGGTAAATTGTGTTGAATTTCTGATATTTTGTGTTTGGCTTCGTTTCTTTTGTATATACTTTTCTTCTTGTTGTTGTGTCATTGAATTTGGTGTATGTCCTGTTGTAGAATGTGTTGAGGAATTATATACTTCGAGAAAATGTTTCATTGTTTCTTCGGTAAAGTCTCGCTCTTGGTTTAAATCTCTGAGAGTCCTTATGAAGCGGTTTATGATGCCGAGTATGTTATGGTTATGGTCTTCAGTAGTGTAGTGAGTTATGTTATGCTTAATGAGAAATTCTGTGATTTCATTGCTGAGGTATGCACTGTCTTGGTCTGATGTTAAAGTACTTGGGTTATGTTCTGATACAAACTTTTGTAAAACTCTTAACACTTCACGAGTTCCTTTATTTTTCATTGGATATGCATATGCTTTACGAGTGTTAACATTTATGAAGATGAGGAATGGTTTATGTCCTCCTTTTCTGCTTTGAATGAGAGTGTCAAATTGGTATGCGTCAGGAGTGTTGGAGTAAATTGGTAAAAAGTAGTCGTAAGGGTTTATTTTTGTTTGATGTACAACATTTTTGTCAAAGAACCTTTTCACTTCAGCTCTGTTAGTAAATCCCCAACTCTTTGCAGCTTCATTGAACTTCTTAAATGACCTCCATGGATGTTGTTCGAATACTTCTTTCAAGCTCATTTATGTAAAGTTAAAGATTTTAACCAACTCGTATCCAAGCGTGCATTGTTATATAAGGAGGCATATAATCTTTTCCATTACCTGCTGGGTCTGTAATACCAGCTACAACATGTGTATGATTTCCTGCAGTTCCACAGAAAATACCTGTGCTTGAATCTACTGGGTCAGTTGAAATATCATATCTATGCATTCCCTGTCTATCCGAACCCGCTGCAAGATTTGTATAACCTCTTTTTGTTATTGAATGTGAATGGTTTCCTTCCACAGATGTTCTTCCACTGAACCTATGCATATGTGAAGGAAGGTTTTCAATACCTATTTTCTTTGAACCTCCCATCTTCATTGACTGCGTATTAGTGTAGAATGGAAAACTGTCAACTATTTCATACCATCTACCACCAAATAAAGTGTTTGGATTTATTGGATTCATAGACGTATAAACAGCTCCTATAGGATATATTAAATCATATATGCTCATAACTCTATAAACATATTCTAAAGAACTTATGTCATTAAATACCATTTGGAATGTATCTCCCGGATGAAATGTTGCATTTGTTCCACTTTTATAATGTAATGTTAGTTCAATAGAATTATCCAAGAAAAATTCAAAAGTATCTGGTTGAAGACCTCTAACAAATTCAAATGGAGTTGCTGGTTCACCATTTATAATTTCTGTTGTAAATGTCATTGTATCTGGTTTCGAAAATTTCTTTGTTAGTTCTGCATCCACATAAGTTTTATCTGCTTTCTTATCTAACATTGTTGGTAGTTCATGTGCTTCAAAGTTTCTGGCATGACTTTCAATGTTCCTGCAACTCTTATCTAAACTGTTAAGAGTATCTTTTACGCTTGTACTTGGATTTTCTAATGGTGCACTTGAACCAAGGTCAAAGTTCAATATTATGTCATCAGCTCTAACAGTAGTGAAGGATTTATGTGTATGGTTCTTGTCAGCTTTACTGTCTAATGTAGCTTGAAGTTCATTTATATCGGAGATGTTGTGTTTATGAGATTTCAAAACTTTGTTCATTGCTTCGAGTTCAACTTTGTCAGCTTTACTTTTAATAGCATCTTCAAACGTTATTTTTGCCTTAACTCTCAAAGTAAATCTTGGTTCAACTAATACACCGTTAACATTGAAAGTAGAGGCATAAATTTCACCGGTATAACCAAATGCTTCTGGTGCTTTAGCTACATCATACTGTACAGTACAGCTTATGTCATAACCTTTAGCACGAATGTATTTATATCTTCTTTCATTAACATTTTTTGTCTTCGCTTCATCACTTCGTGTTAAATATCCATGGTAGTCCGTTATAATCTGTTCGTCTGAAGTTATATAATGAACATGGTTCTTGTCCGCTTTACTATTTAATGTAGCTTGAAGTTCATTTATATCGGAGATGTTGTGTTTATGAGATTTCAAAACTTTGTTCATTGCGTCAAGTTCATTTTTGTCCGCTTTACTATTTAATGTAGCTTGAAGTTCATTTATATCGGAGATATTGTGTTTATGTTCTTTATCTGCTTTTTCGGCTAATTTCTCTTCTATCTCATTTATTTCAAGTTCATGCCTACCACCACCTCCCGAAGAAGTATTTTTCTTCAGCTCTTGAAGAACATCCACTTCGCCATCTTTAGTGTCAATAATGAGACTTTGTGTTAAAACCTTTCCTGTCTTAATGGATGTTTGTAAAACTTCTTCTTCACCGTGTTCGGGGTCATGGTCGTCATCATATCTTGTGAAATCAGAGATGTTGTCATACATTAAACATATCTGTCTCAAAAGTTCTGCTATTTGAAACTGGAACGAAAGATATACAGAACTTTCATCATCTCCTAAAGTCAAGTCTGCTTTCTTAAGTATTTCTTGAATGTATGCAATGAGAACAGAGTACCTTGGAAAATATTCGAACAATATTTCATTAGCTGTTGGTTTTGGTGGTTCTTCTGGAGTTTCTGTTGTTTCAGTTCCTTCTGTAGTTCTGTTGGAGTTTCTGCATCTCTTGACTTCAATGCTCTTGCTCTCAAAGACCTAAATGTTAGAGCACCAGGTTTTACAAAGGACTTTATAAATGCTTTAATAGTTCCTGGTAAGTTATTGTTAGCATTAAGTAAGTTCCTTATGCTTCCATCATGTACGTCCATAGCACTATGTAAAAACTATACTTTTCTTGTAGTCAGCAATAGACTGACTGTGATTTTTTAAAGATTTGTCAATACCTTTAAGCCAATCTTCATGCATGTCTGATACTGAGCCAAGAATATCATTTGCTTCCTTTAGTGTATTTTGTGCTTGTCGTAAAGTATCCAATCCCGTACGTGCATTGTTTGCTATACGTCTTACAGTATCTATTTGACTCCTTGTTTCTTGCATCCAACCAGATAAAGTTTTAATAGTATCCGAACCATTTGAAATGAAGTTCAAAGCATTTTTAACGTCATTTAAAACTTCTTCACCAAGTACCCCATATCTTTCCGATTTGGTATTGAAGAACTCCATATGAAGCAGCTGTTAAACCAGTATTTATAAGGTCCCATATCCATGATTTAGCAGTTTTTCCATCCTTTCCATCCTTTCCATCCAAACCGTTTTCGCCTTGAGGTCCTTGTATTCCTTGTATTCCTTGTATTCCTTGTATTCCTTGTGGTCCTTGAGGTCCGGTGTCACCCTTCTCTCCTTTCAGTTCATCTTTATGTTCGTTATAATATTCTAATGTCATAAGGTGTACATCATTACTGCTACCAGCAACGCCGAGAATTTGTTTCTCATTCATGACTAAATTCTTTAGGCATTTAATGTTGTCGTCAAATCGAAAGCTCTTTAACAATTCAATGAGAACATTTAATACTTTCACTAATGAGGCATCTACTGTAGAATTTATATATTGCACCGTTCCATCATTTATAATAGGAACTTTGCTTGTTGTAATGAATGGGTCATAAGTGTTAAAAGTATCGAAATCAATGACTTTTTTAGTTTTTCCATCGTCAATGACTAAATCATTGCCTTCAATGGTTAAAGTTGAGTTTTCGTTTACTAGTTCATGTGCTCTTCTTGCTTCATTTGTTTCATACGCATATGCAGCAATAGTCATATTTTAATGAGAATAAAATGTTGTTCTATTTGCAAAGTACAGACCCAAACGAATACGGGACAGTAAAGCTACAAACAAACTTAGGTCTTCAGAATGAAGCACTTGCTTTCAGAGTTGTTGACTTCAATACTATCGCAACTTTTGTCATAACAGATGAAACAGATTTCATGGAGTTTGAAATAGATGGAAAGAAGCACGAAATAAGATTTCACAATAATGTAGAATATAAGATGGAAACATTAGCTGGAGTGTTAAATGCTCTCATAAATACTACAATAAACAAGGATAACGAAGAAAACTTAATGAATGTTAAACTTATTGCAGGAGTTTTGAAGTTCAGTTATGCAAAGGAGTTTATGATAACACGAATGAGTCATAGAGTTCAATTGCTTTTAGGAGCATACCATATGACATTTCCTTTGAAAAGTGTTGACAAAACGATTGAGATGAAATCTGTTCCATACGTATGTTATGGTAATTGTTTGTACATTGAGTCTAAAATAGCTAATGTCACAGGCATTTCAGGAGTTAATAGTAAAGGTTCAGTAGAATATAAATCCTTCTGTTATGCAGTCAATTCAATGTTCATTCCAAACGTTCCTGTCATAGCAACTCATTTAGGTAAATGGATTCGCATTAGTCCTCATAATTTGAAAGACATGCAATTCAGACTTGTTGACTTTCAAGGCGAGCCTGTAGAACTGAAGGCACCAGTGCGAATGACTGTTGAAGTTGACTTTTTAGAAAATATTAAATGCAACAGCTTACAAGAGAACTCAGAGCTAAAAATATAAAGTATGAATGTTATGTATTAGGTCATGAACTTTGGTTATTGCTGTTTGATGAAACAAATGAGTTAGTTATGTCAGTCAAGAGAACAGAAAAAGGCGTCAAAGGCGCCGAGCGCAAAGCGCTATGTTGTGTTAGTGAAAACTGCACCAAGTCAATAAGATTAGGTTTGCATTATGAAGATGAGTTCGATACTGTTGAAGAAGTTTTGGACAGATATTACAAATTGCTTTAATTTACTAAAACATATTTCAAGCAAAGTTTATATTCTGTTGAAAGTTTTGTATACTCGTTCGAATATTTATACTTAAACTCAACTCCTGTAGTTCCTGGTGTTTCAATGATGCGGATGTTACCTATTTTCATGAATAGTGGAGTTTGACCACAGCATTCGATTTCAGGGTCGAGATAGTCAATGACACATTGCTTTCCTGTTATTCGTGAGATAACATTTTCAAGGTCCTCCTTTGTTAGAATTATTTGGTTCTTGCTTATAAGATTTGTCAAAAGCTTCTTATCGTCTTTGAGTAAAATTGTTTGGTATAACTGAAGAAGGTAATGGTCTACGTTATCTGAAGGATTTGTTTGAACATTTATGTAAGGATTGTCGTTGGCTTCTCTTGAAAGAATTTGGTCCAGTGGTGGATACTCTAACTTAACATCTGATGTAGCGTTAGCGTTTGAAGCTGAGTTTAAATTCACGGATTTCAGTTCTGGTTCTTTTTCTTTCAAACACTCTGAACTATAGTTCTTTATGACAATATTGTTTGTCGTTCGTGAGTCAACATTTGATGTTGGTTCATTGGGAACATTAACGGCACCAGCTAAGATGGACTTCTTCTTCATTTTATAGAATAAAAACCTTTTATATGTAGAAATGAACAATACACTCGACAAGGGTTTGAATGTAAAGCTAACGAATGAAAATATTGTTGAATTCACTGAGACAGGAGCTGTGTATAAAGATGTAGAACTACTGAACAAAGACTAAGGAAGAAGCAGGAACATGAACAAAGGGTGGAAGCCTATAAAAATTTATGTCAATGATGGCTCAGGAGGTTCAAACATAAAGTATGCAGAAAGTTATAGAGTTTATGCTCTCAAGGGAGAGAAGCCTTCATTTAAGAACAGCTATTCTAACACATATCCTCAAAAGCTAACGGATGGGGAAGTGGATGATTATGAATGACAGCAAAAATATTAACAGAAATGGCGACAGAGATGCATGGAATTTGTTTACCATCAGTCAATTGAAGGTTAAACTTTAAAACAATGTTGGTCGTTCCCATGAATATTTTTGACTTTAATGGTATTAGTCATGATATGAATCTCAAGGTATAACGAGGAGAGATGAGAGACTTATATGCTTCCCAAATTTCTTCAAAAGGTAATGTTATACCTGACTGTTTCCAAATGAGTTCAATATCATAACGTGAGAAACCTTGAAAGATAACGAAGTCAGTTATGAGACGTTTTATGTTTAAAGCTAAAAACCTCCATGTTTGCATAAGTATTGCTACAGTTAAATGGTAATGTCTGACTTTAGTAATGATATTAGCTAATGGTGAGTCAGGTTTTGACACTAAACCTTTTCCGCGAAGTCGTCGCAAACTAACAAAGTATTTGAAGGATATTTTTTGAAGGGGTATTTTGAAAGTTTGACAGAATGTAGTTTGTAAGTCGTTTCATATCGTAAACTCCTGAGTACTGACGTAAGTGGTGTTTGTCAATAATTCTTTCCATCTCCTCAGAAGTCTTTTGCATTCCTGACTGTATAAATTCAACGATGGCATAATATTTCCTCTTACGTCGAATGTAACGTTGAAGAAATTCAATGAGTTCACTGTCTGGAACTTTAACGACAGAGGCTTGAACTTTTGACATAAATGTTTTCGCTGTTGAATCCATAGAGTCTGAAGTTGCTGATATAATGATTTGGTCATAGTAAGAGTCGTTTCCTAAACGCTCTGTTATGAGTATATGACGAATTAAATTAAATGTCTTACCTGAACCCATCTTTCCACAATAGAAATACACACCATTTGAACAGAACTCATAATCTTTACTGAAAGGAAGAATAAGAGAAGAGTTAAGTTTGTCTGTAGTTTCATTCATGTCTTCATCTACGTCATGTATTAAATGCTTCATTTTATCTCCATTAAAAATGCAAGTCAGAAATATTCAGAACATAGCACCGAGTCTAACTGACAAGAGTATAAAGATATACTATGAACACGTTATGATGAAACCAACCAAAATTCAAGAAAGTCAGTATACTTATGAATATCCAATGCACTGGGTAGAGTATGTAGGAGGTGAGAAAGCTATTGAAATCAGACAGGTTCGAAGTATTCCAGCAGGAAGAACAATATTATTGAAGAACTTTAATGTTTTGAGATATAATGATGAAACAAAGAAGCAAGATAGTTTTCCTGTTGCTGTGTATGTGAACCTAGACACAGGAGATGACATGAAAGTTTTTTAACACAAAGCTTCAAATGGGTAGTGAGAGAACAACTGACTGTGGAAGGATCATTACCTTCAGAAGTTACCATAGTATATAATTTTGAAACAAACTCAATAGATTTTAAAGTCATCTCTGCAAAGAAGTCAGGTTTTACATTTAATGAAGCAGATGTATATTCGAATGAAAACTTCAAAGCTATTGCATGGTTAGATAATGACGATTGCTTTAAGAAAATATTTAAATTCAGTGACTCAAAGATGTCAATAGATGACCTTCGTGGAATGTTACCATCGACGTTTACAGTTGAAGGCTCAGCAGGATTGCTTACAAGATTGTCAATTGGGGTATTTGGTCTCGTGAGAACATTGTTTATAAAATCCAGTATAAGTGAATTTGCTGAAGAATCTATATTATGTCTTTCAAACTACATGTATTCGCCACCGAAGCATTATAGTATAACAAACTTTGTCAGTAAGTTTAACATAAGACTTGTCGAACCTTCTTCAATGAAAGATGTTGTGCTACCTAAAGATGGAAAGGATGGACTCATTATTGAGATGATTTTAATTGCATATTAAATGAGCTTGTTCTTGAAGGTCATTCATGATGAAATAACTGTTGTAGAAGATGTTAGCAATTGTTCAGACATTTTGAAGCGAATAGATGATATAAGAAATAAGTTAGATAGACCGCAAAGCGGTGAGGACGAAGCCCGTGAGAACGCTTATGTTTCATTGACTTTCTCCAGTAACGAGAACTTTTATGAGATAATATTGAAGAGAGATGATTTTAATATGGTGTAAATGGTAGCTTGGGCAGCTTTAGGCGCAATGGGAACAAAAGCATTAGCATTTGGAGCAAAAGCACTTGGAGCTTATGACGCAGTAAATAAAATGAGTGGAGGAAGGGTTTCGAAGACATTAGATGCAAATAAAGGGAAGATTGGAGGCTGGGTTGCAAAGAAGTTAAGATTAAATAAAATAGGGCTCATAAATAAAGCATCCAATTTGGTTGCGACTGAGTCAGAAAATGCTTTAGGAAAGGACGATGAGTTTGCAAAACACGCAAAAGACTTTAATGACCAGATGAAAGGTGAAACAATGCATTTAAATAGAGTCGATGGAACTCTTCCTCCACCAGTAGTTCTTCCGTATGGTCCCTATGGAATGTATGGAAACCCTTACGAAAGACCATTTAACCCATTGACTGGTGGAAGTAACTGGTATCATTACGGCCGAAGAAGAAAGACAGTCAAGTTGGAGACAGACGTGAAGAAAGCAACTAAAAAGAAACCAAGGAAGAGAGTTATAAAGCAATGAATTCAACAGGGTGAAAAAACAGGTGAAAAAAGAGGTGAGATCTCACCGCTTCACCTAAATTTATTTTTGTGCTATGTTTTCATACGTGTGAGGGTGGTGATATCATTAATTTTTAAGTTTATTTTTTTTATTTTATTTTTTATTTTATTTGGATGTAAATGACGAAAACTATTGAGATAACAAACTACAACGGTCATGAGTTCAAGAATTTGTTCTTCGTTCCTCGTGAAAATACATTCTATCAGATACGAGGGAGAAAGGGTAAAGTTAGTTTGAGCGTTTATGAAGGAATGAAGAATGGAAAGTTTATACAAGCATACGATACAAACGGTAAACGTGTTTCATTAGCTTTGTCAAAACTTACTAACATTTATTTTGACAGTGATTTTGACTCTGACGATTGGAGCGACAGCAGCGATACTGAAGAATATGAACTATTGTGTGAAGCACAGCAATGGGAAGAGTTGCAATACTTTTGTAAGTGAGAACGTTTATTTTTTACAGTAGTGAAGTCATTTGTGAAAACGTTAGTGAGGTGAAGTGGTTGGTGGTTTTGTAAATATTTAAGGTTAAGTTAGTGTTGTCGTTTGTGTTGTAAAATATATGTTAACGGTTTTGTAAAGTGTCAAATTCACATATAACGGGTACGGTGGAACGCAGTGCCTCCGTACACATGATATGTATACTAACTGCATTATTATATTGAGATATTAAATTGTAGTGCGGCAACCAAACTTTGTTGAAATAATCAATATAATCTTTGATCGAATCAACTTTATTTTGATTAATTATATGCATTGTAAGTACAAATTCTTCATGAGACATGAATGGAGTAATAGAATATAGCTTAAATAAAGAATTTTGTAAAGTATTGAAATTTTTTGTATAAAGTGCTACAAGTTTCCTGTGCAAAGCTTGTTTGAAATGAAATAGGCATCCAATTATACGGACTTTAGGGAAAATTTGTTGAAGTGCCTCTATCATTCCCTTTTCAAAATCACAATGAATTTGAATTAGCTTTGAAATTGAATACCCTTGACAGTAAAAATATATTCAAATGCCTTCTTATAAGATTCAAATGTGCGGTTTTTCATGAATATAAATAAAAGTGGTAGATATTGATTTGTTGAAGGTTCACAAATCATAATTGTTAGCATCTGTCCTTTTTGAAAATGTTTTGGTGTAATTTTAAAAGTTCCATCGCAAAATAAATCTGTGGCTTCTTTTGCAAATTGAATTGCCTTCTCAAAACCAAAAAACATCGTCTCACAATTTGCTTGAAAATCATGGCCAATGAAAAACTGCTCGCCATTTATTAAACAAAAATTAGCAATTTCATCGTCTGTAATTTTTTCTCCAACAGAAAATTTTCTTGACTTATTATAAACTTCCCTGACCAATGAATCTTTAATTAATGGGTTTTCATCAGTACCAACAGCAAGTTCTGTCATAAATTTTTTAATCTGCTGAAAAGTGCCGTTGTCTTCAGAAAATTTTGCCATTGCCTTATTGTATATTTCTGTCAGAGTCATTGATTTATGAAGATCATTTTTTTCATTTTGTAACTTTTTAAATTGTCTGCATTCGGGTATATGTTCCTTTTGTAAATCTTCGGAAACTGAACTGTTCTCAATTTTAAACTAAATAACGTGCTTGACAAGAATGATCGATGCAACGGTAGTAACGTTCAATATTATTTGAATTAATATTTGTATGATCATGCGAATAAAGCATATCTTTGCGAACAATTGTATCAGGATATTTTCCAGTAACTGCGGGAATATTTTTAACTGCAATATAACTAAAGTATCTTCTGACAGCTTTAGATTCATTTTCGTGGTATTTAATATTAAAATATTGAAGAACTTGTTTGATTATATTCGTTTTTTCATCTCTCGATGTTGATTTTTGGTATTTATCAGATTGTTCCCTGATAAATATTTTATTTTCGTCTGTAAAGTTTGCTCTTTTTTTGATTAAATATAGATGATTTTCCCATTAAAAAATGAAATGATGCAAAATTTACGAAAACCGTTCGAAAATTGAATCAAAAATGAAAAGTAATACTTAAATGAGTAATTCTTTGAGATATTGGTCTTAGATTGAATGTAGCGTCATTCTTATATAGAATATATATTCATATCATCGGAAATATGATAAAAAGCATATAATAAATGTCAAAAAAGTGAACAAATAAGCAAAGATATTTTTTAAAAAACAATGAAAAGTAATACTTAAATGAGTAATTCTTTGAGATATTGGTCTTAGATTGAATGTAGCGTCATTCTTATATAGAATATATATTCATATCATCGGAAATATGATAAAAAGCATATAATAAATGTCAAAAAAGTGAACAAATAAGCAAAGATATTTTTTAAAAAACAATGAAAAGTAATACTTAAATGAGTAATTCTTTGAGATATTGGTCTTAGATTGAATGTAGCGTCATTCTTATATAGAATATATATTCATATCATCGGAAATATGATAAAAAGCATATAATAAATGTCAAAAAAGTGAACAAATAAGCAAAGATATTTTTTAAAAAACAATGAAAAGTAATACTTAAATGAGGAATTCTTTGAGATATTGGTCTTAGATTGAATGTAGCGTCACAAATTTCACAAATATAATTTACTATACAATTTTATTCATTTTTTTAAAATGGCTGACGACAGTCTGTATCAACTAACTCAACTAGTCAAGCATAATGATTATTCTTCGGATTCATTAAATCAACTTTATCAATGCATAAGTACAATGACAGAAAGATCAATTGGATGCTTGAATTGGGATAAATTTTTCAAAAAAATCACAGTGACTGATGAAGTTCTTTTACATTTTTTAGCATCCGTTTTAAACATTGAAAAATATCAGAATGTTTCAAGGATTCTATTTTTTATCACAATATTAATCTTGAAAAATTCAGTAATTTAACTGAAACAGAACAACAAACAATTTTAAATTCCTACAAAGCGGATAAATTTACATATTACATAATGTGCTCACAAATTGTAAAATCAAACTGGAACAATTTATCCCAAACTTTAGTTAATATTGCAAATCAATATTTGCCATTTTTAGATGAAGAAAAGCAAATATATATATTTACTGAAATAACTGGCAATTATCAAAATTTTGAAATTTCAGTTGCAAACTTGTTACTTTTTTATGAAAACAATGAAGAAAAATTAAGCAACTGTTTTAATTTAACATTGTTCCAGCAAATTTATTCCAAAAATGGAATCGAGCAAATGATATTTTTTGCTGCAAATACAATTTGTTGCAATAACACTTCTATCAATTTTTACAATCTCCTTGAAATTGAAGAAATGAATCCATTTGATTTTTTTTATTTCTCAATTCAATATAAAGAGATATTAAATTGCGATGATTTTCCAAAAGTTACAGAAGTAATCACAGGTTTAATCTCAGCTTCAAATATTAATGCTATTATGCGAATTTGCCAAAAAATTTTGGATAAAATTACATTTTATAAATGTAATTATTGCCATATTACCTCAATATGGAATTTTATCACAAATGCAGCAATAATTCTTCCTGATGAAGATTTATTAATCAAATTATTAAAATTCATAGAAAAAACAGAAAAAGCAACAGATGAATTATTCGAACCGGAGAATGATTTGGGTTTCTATGAATATTTAAATTCGATTTTCTCAGATATTACATCTGCGAGAAATAAGCAATTTCTCTTGGAATTTCTAAATACCCATGAAGATGACTTCACTTATGATCAAACATTGTGAGGTCATTTTTGATCAACAAATTAATTGAAATTCCGATCAAAAAAAATTCACAAATTGGATCAAAAAAATCGAATCTCAAGTTAAAAATAAAAAATTTCTACATTTTTATCAAATTTAGATTTTTTTTTTCAAATCATGCGAATTGATTGAATAATTGCATATTTTATCCCATGCATCTAGAAGTATGTGTAATATTTTTGCTTTCATCAAGAAATTGTCGAATTTGATCTTAATTTTTTTTGAAAAATATACTTTTAGAAAAAGAAATAGTGATTGAATAGCTGCCCATGCTGTAAAAGGGTTATTTTTACAAGTAAAAAAATTGTTATTTTTCGAGCAAGTCGAGGCTTTTTTACCATCTTATTTTTGAAAAATTTACGAAAAATTATATCTGAAAAAACGCTTCATTTTGATATCTTACAATGATAAAATACCAATGTTGCTGGGATATAATAGCTACACCTGGACATCTACTACATTAATGCGTATGACAGGTAAAGTTGATTTCAAAAGTATAGCCTGGAAAGATTACAATAAATCAACGATAATTCAAAAAAATTTCTTATAAGTTAACATAATAAAAATTTAATTTTTATATTGCTTGTATTATACTTAAGTATATAATATATTTAAATCTTAGAATGAAAATTCGGGACGCCCTAGCTATTCAATTTTCCCTTAGGACGCCCATAAACCTCTCAAAAATGTGATGTAAATATCACAATTTTGAGAAATTTACACTAGGACGCCTTAGGACGCCAACCCCCTTTTTTACCCAAATCTAAACGTAAAAGAACAACTCAGCGTGGCACAAAGATTTAAAGTCTACATAAACACTAAATAGCGGTTCCTTTGATAGCAGATCTATTTTTCGATAATTAAAAATTTTGATTTTATTGAGCTTAGCTTAGATTTCTTTTCTCACATATCTCATTTTAAAGGGCTATCTGTTTGAAGTTTTAATAAGATTTCCTTCAATTCTGAGATGGGATATCATGTGAAATCAAAAAATTGTCATGAAAATAAATTTGACAATGGGAGAATTGTTTACGAATCCAAATCCATTTCCATATGAGGGAAGGATTCTTTTGGTAATGAATTTACCTTATGACGTATCACCTACACAAGTACGTGACTTTCTTATTAGTAAGGGTCAAATTCTTAGAGTTGATTTAGAAAAAGATCACGCAGGACAAATGAATGGTATGGGATTTATTGAATTTAACAACCCAGATGATTGTAAAGCAGCTTTGGAATTAAATGGAACCCAGTTTGGCGGAAGAACATTTAAATGCAAGTTTGCTGATCATCCACCTCCAGAACTTACACGATTTTACATCAGACAGCCAGTTGATAGACCAGTTCCAGATAAAGTTCGACAAACAATTATTAATGAATGGAAATATGGTCCATCAGAAAATAAGAAGACAGGCCCTCCTAAGCGTGCATTAAAGCATAAATCACTCCGCAAGAGAAATACATACAAAAAGCCAGAAGATCAAAATGATAGGAATTCAAGTGGTTATTCCGACTATTCAGACTCAGGATCTTACAGTTATGGATCGTACTCCGATTAAAATTACTATAAAACAGATTTTGTAAAGGAAATTAAATGTTGGATTCTCAATACGAGAAAAATGGACATAACACTATCTATTACTTAAGCATTTGTGAGTTAGAGTTTTATCCACATATTATAAAGAATTAAATTTGTTGTAAAATTTATTTATCCTACATTTCTTTTTTTTTTCTTTGCTTTATTATCAGAAGGTATCACATAATCCTCTTTTCCAAAAGTAAATATATCATTATCTTTTCTATTGATAGAACGTCGAAATATGGATCTCAACACAATAACATCGTCAATTATTTTTGTTTGGATTTCGATGGAAACTTAAGTTAATCAAATTTGATTTGCTTGTTTGATATTCCTTTCATTTTATCATCAGTAATTCATTTTCATTTCTGTAGTAAAATACAATGAATACACACCACGTTTCTTATTGATTCATGTATTACTACACTCATAATATACTTCTTTCTCAATAATTCAGATTGAGTTTGGATGAAATGCAATGATTTCATTAAGATACATAACGGACACAATTTTGGTCGATATTTTTGTTGTTAACGATGTTTTTCCTTTTGAAGAAAACCATTTTCTCATTCTGGAAAGCGTTATTATAAGGATCCTTGCACCATATTTGATGAGCTAAAAAATTCCTTTTCGCAAGGATACAGAATTGTTTTCATTCAATGAAAATATATATTCTGTACGCACTAGTCAATATAGGTACATATTGCTATAGATATTTTCTTATTAATCTCTTCGTATAGTAAGATAGAGACGGTCAAAGTCTCCTAAAAATTGAATTAAAAATTACGGTAGCAACTTTTTAAAATTTTTGACATTGTAAAGTAATTTTATTTGCCCGGCCACTTAAAATTAGGAGATGAGTATCGGTATTGACTTTGGCAATTCCTTCACCCGTGTGGCTCTTAAAAAGGAAGGTGAAGCTCCACAATTACTTAATATTGATGGTGAACTCAAAGAAATGCCATCATTTGTTTATATTAAACCAGATGGTGTATTAGTTGCAGGTTCAGAGGCTAAGAGCCATGCAGAAGCCGAACCAAAGAACACCATCAACAATATCAAACGCTTTACAGGCGCTAGCTATTCAATTTGTGTTCAAGAAGGCCAGCCATACCCATTTGAGCTTGTCAACGAGAACAACAAGGATCAACATGCTGCTGTTGGCTGCACAATCAATGGAGAAAAGAAAGTTTACACTGTTTCTCAACTCCTCAACTCAATTTTCCAAAAAGTTGCTCAAAATCCAGAATTAGCTGACAAGAAAGTTGTTTTAACTATTCCTCCATACATGAGCATCGTACAGCGCGAAATTATCAAGAAAGCTGCCAAAGACGCAAATCTCAAAGTTATCGACGTAGTTTACGAGCCATTTGCTGCCATTGCAGCCTACGCTGATAAGATTCCAGATGGTGTCCGTAACATCGTCGTATTCGACATCAGCCAGACAAATACTGTTGTTTCAGTTTGCAAAGGCCGCAAGAACAGTCCACGTCTTCAGTCATGGAGCGGTGATGATGTTGGTGGTGATTCATTTACAGGCGATGCAACACAGTTTATTTCCCGCGAATTTAGAGTTACATATAAGCAACCAATCAAAAACAACCAAGAGGCCATGGATAAGCTTTTCAAGTGCATAGACGAGGCAAAAATCAAATTACTAGATAGCGAAACTGTCGAAATGTCTGTTCCTCAGATTCTTCCTGGAATTGACTACAAAGACTCAATGGACCGCGAGAAGTTCGATTATATGATAGAGGACACACTCGGAACTGTTATGGAAATCGTCGACAAAGCCCTCGAAGACGCTAAAATCGCAAAGAAAGATGTAACAGATGTAATCGTTTGCGGTGGAACAGCTCGTCTCCCAAGAATCGCTGATGTCGTTGAACAACACATTGGTGTAAAGCCTGTTTCCGGAATTGATCCTGCTAATGTTGTTGCTTATGGTGCATCAATCCTTGCATCACAAATATAATTCTGAATAAAATCTTTTCTTTTGATAATTGTTTCTTTGATTTTTGTCTCTTATTTGATAATAATTTCTACTATTGTAACATTTCATGACATTAGATTTAATAGAAACATCTTAACTCCTTATAAAGAGTTCAAAGAAGATATTTTGAACTCATTATATAAATTTCAGGAAAATTCATGAAATAGGATATTAATTTCACCAACCTTTTAATGTAGTGAATGTCTTATTGACAGATATCATAAAGAAACTGCTGAATTTCAAGCTTATTTTCCGATTTGGATATAAAATGTTGAAGAATATGAATGAATGAGGTAATACTAGGTAGAATCCTTTTGTTTTATTGTAAAGACTTGAAAGGTGATACTATGTATTGAATAAATCAAATTCATCAAATTTTTTTACCCTACATAGTATTAGTGCACAATACACTCTTGTCGCTCAAAGTTTTGCAATCACATTCTGATTGCAGAAGATTGTCTCATTCTGGGAGACATTCAGAGGCAATGTCTCCCGGAATGAGACACCGTGACCGACAAGAGTGCACAATACACTCTTGTCGCTCAAAGTTCCGCATTCAAGTTATGAATGGGGAACTTGATATCATTCTGGGAGACATGCAGTGACAATGTCTCCCGGAATGAGACACCGTGACCGACAAGAGTGCACAATACACTCTTGTCGCTCAAAGTTCCGCATTCAAGTTATGAATGGGGAACTTGATATCATTCTGGGAGACATGCAGTGACAATGTCTCCCGGAATGAGACACTGTGACCGACAAGAGTGCACAATACACTTAATGTTTTCAAATTTTCAGATTTAAATTTAATCTTTATTTTCATCATCATTTATAGTCTTGTTCCTTTATACAGTTATAATAAATTATCGTCAGATTCTAATATTTAAGATTCTTACTACTCAATTCAATATAATTATGTTAGTCACTCATATTCAGGAGAATAATTTAAAAATCTATAGCTCATATTTTGATAGTTATATATTTAGATGATATATATTGCAATTCCGGTTTCAACACGATCAAATGCCAAACCAAGACAAAATATATATGAATTTTCAAAATATCGATTTACATTAGAATCTATATCTAATTTTATCAATACACAAGTAGTGAATGTTCAATACATCTTTGAGCAACGTGAATAGCACAATTTTATAGGATTATTAGTTGATTATATAAATATAAGCCAAATCGAATCTGCTGTATAGTACTTTAGTTTATCATTGAATGTTAAATGTGTTCAGATAAATATTTGAGTCAGATATCGCATTTTCTAATTTCAAAATTTATCTCATGAAGTTAGAATTTATTTGATCATACAACATCATGTTAGTCAAACCAGAGTTCAATGGCGATTCTAAAATGGAACAAATGCTTGTTTTATCAAAATGTTAAAATATTAATCTAAAAAACTTAATATCTAACCAAACCATTCTAGAATTATTATATACAGGTATGGGCAATCTAAATGCACACGGAATTCGGAAAATTAAAAAGAATATTTATGAGATTATTAAATCTTATGTAATTCAATGAAAAGTAGATAATATGAATATCCATAGGCTATATATCAACATATGAGTTTTTGGTTTGACCAATACTATACTAATGTGATCAAATTAATCTGATTTCTTAGATTTTCATTTGAAGCATTTGCAGTAGTAGGGGTACCTTTATATATTAACATATTAAAAAATTGCGCTCCGATTCGCAGTTTCTTCATGATTTTGAGATTGCATTAGATTTCGCGATGCAGAAAAAAATCACTTTAGATTCCCGTCAAACTCTAAGTATAAGCATGTCTCTATATGTAGAAACTGTCTGCGCTATTTATTTCCCGGCTCAAAAAACCACGGTGTCTGTGTGAGGAAAATACCCATTTTAGGACCCTGGGTAGGGTCATGAAAATTTTCCAAGAGTTGGAAATATAGGGTATTTCAAATCATGAAATAGAAGAACAATTTCACTTGTGTTTTAATGTAATGTATATTCTATTGATAGATATCATAAAGAAATTAGCTAGATTCAATGTCTTGATTCATGAAAATTGAAAGGTTTACAACGGTTTTGAATTGGTCTTCCTTTTTTACAATGGGTGCTGGTACACCATCATTCGGTCCAAGACATAACAAGACACACACAATCTGCCGCCGCTGTGGCAACCGCTGCTTCCACATTCAGAAGGGCAAATGCGCTAAGTGTGGCTATCCAGACGCTACAATGCGCCATTATGACTGGGAAAAGAAGGCCCACCGCAAGCGTGCTCAGGGCTCTGGCGAAATGCGCCACCTTAAGGTTACATTTGCTAAGCTCCAGCGTGCTTATGCTCCAAAATAAATTTTTCAATATTATAATAACGAGTTATTGCTAATTATATATTACAACTTCATTTATTTAACTAAGGCATATATATACTTTTATCTTTTACATCTGAAATTATTTTTTTTTTGTTAGATATATTATTTTTTTCTTAAATCGGTTTGAGTTATTGAGGGAATTTTCATTATATGAAAATCCAAGACAGTTTATTACTCATTTTTTCAAAAAATTCTGATTTGCCTAATTTAATTTCTTATTCTTTATGAAACTGGGAGTTATAAGTTGTTGAAATAGCAGTTACCTCCGATATAGCCCAAAATCTTAGAAAAATCTTAATACTTTTTCCTAGTAGTATATAATGCGGGTTTTGTGACTTTTTTTGTAAACGTAAGAATTCATACAATATCGAGCGATTTTGTATCATTTTTTTTAACATATGAAGTAAAAAATGTATGATTCTTACGGTTTTTATTCTTACGTTTTTGAATAAATCAAGATTTAAAAAATTTTCAAAATTGTAAGACATTTACACTAAACCCATACATAATGAAATAAAAAAAATAAAAAAATAAAAAATAAACTTTAAAAATTCATGTCTTACATTTTTGAATAATTTATTTTTTTAATTTGTATGAAAATGAGTGTCAAAACTAACAACGTTAAAAAATTAGGATTCACAAATGAGGAAATAAAGGATATATTAGAGGAAGCGGGTTATGAGGTTAGTAAATATTATTTAAGAAATTGTCAAAAATTCGCGGAGTTTTTAAATGAGTTTGATTATGATAGAAAAATGAATAAAGATGATGTTATAAATTTCTTATATCCCACATCTGAAGAAGAAAAACCTAAAGAACCTGATGTTTTCCCTGAATATTATGAAGAACGGATTAAAGATGATGAATATGATGAAATTGAAAGACTGGAAAAAATAAGAGATGAAATAGATGAAAAAATTAAGGAATTAAGAGAAGTTGAAAAATATAATGAAAATGAAGTAGAGGGTTTAATGAATATCCCAGCTTCAGAATCAGCAGTTCAAAAATCTCATGAAGAAAGATATAAAAATTATGTCTCAGAATCAACACAAAATTTATTAGATGGTGAAATTGACGAAACACTTTCAGAAGAAGGTACTAAATTTATTCGTAAACATAAGTTACAATTTATTGATAATGAAGAATACCCTTGTATCTTACTTTCACCCCCTCTCGATTCTGAGAAATTCAAAAAAGCACTGAAAAATGTAACATATGCAACAAATACGATTAAGAAAGAAGACCATGATATTTACACAAATTATTATTTAAATAAATGCACAGGTGTTGATAAAGTTTTTGATTTATTAGATAAAATATCAAAAGAAACAATTGGTACATATAAAATTTTATGCGATTGCGGTTTCATTATTGAAGATACCAATAATGTTTCATATGAAAGAACAGCACCGAAGGAAGACGAAGTGGAAAGGTCTATACCATTCGTTATTAAGAATATAAAAGATATGAAAACGTATAAGCATTATATTTATTCATTTATTTCAGAAAAAATGGAAGCAACCCATAAAACATCATCTCATCATTTTATAGCTATTCATACATTCCTTTTCAAAGTTGTGAAATTAAATAAGACAGGAATTAGATTTAATGTATCAGGGTACGCATTCTTGAGTAAATTAAAATGTATTCATCACGTCGCAGATGATAAAAATTTATGTGTTCTTAATTCATTTTATGGACTTTAGCCCTGGACTTTAAAAAAATAAACTTTATTTTTATTTATTTTTTTAATTTTTATTCTTACATAAATGAACAAAAACGGAACAGCTAAAATGAATGATAATCAAATTAGAGCAGAAGGTAGAAGGTTATTTAAACGCTTCTATAACATTCCTGATGGTGTTAATCCTAAAACTCGTAGAAGCTATTTAAATGAAGCAATAGATGCATATGAAGGGTTTGACATTTCATCAGAAAGTGAGAGGTTAGCAAGAATGTTAAACGTTAATATTGATTTTTATTATTGTGACCCTCAACCAGAAGACGTAGACATTAACAAGGTAGACTTTCCATTAGTGGAATCAATAATGATAGATCCAGAATTTGAAACAGTAAATATTTTATTAACACAGAGTCCATGTGGAAAACTTCACGCTGACAGAATAACAGACGTTGAAGCACTCACAGGATATAAAGTTTGTCCATATTGCAAAGAAGAAGTTTATTCTATCCGTGATGATCCAGAAAGGAAAAACCAAAGAAGATTTTTAAAACATTGTGAGAAATGTAAAGAAAATAATGGAAGATTAATTCAAGACGTTCAATTGCAAAACACACAACAACCATATGCACCACATATCACGAAACAGAAGATATATCAATGGCTATTAGCACATAATTTGCAGGAATATTATAAACCAACAAGATATTATATTACTTTTGACTTCGAAACATTAGAGACTAAAGAAGAACTTCAACTTTCTGAATGTGCAACTTTGAACGCTTACTTAAAACCATTTATGGTATCATCAACTGTCAAAATAAAGCCGCAAAGCGGCGAGGTCGTAGACCGTGATAAAACATTTACGAGGAATTTTTGCTTAACATCAAGTGATTCTTTTATTTCTGATTGGATTGAGTTTTTATTTTCAACCTGTTCATTAGTTGCTAAATCAAATATTGAACAATATGAAGAATTAATGAAGCCGCAAACGGACCAAACGGCGGGGACTTTGTCTCATACATTAAATGAGAAACAAAAGGAAGCATTTAAAGAACTTCTAGATGAAGAATTTAATAAAGTGAATATCATAGGTTTTAATTCGGGAAAGTTTGATTTAAATTTAATTCTTCGTGATTTAAACACTGCAAAATGGAAAATAAAATCAATGCTAGGTTCATCTTCTCAATTTAAGCAAATCATAGTAAAGAAAACAAACTGTCCATATGAATTAAGATTTATTGACATCAGAAATTATATAGCGGGTGGAACATTAGACCAATTCACTCAAGATTTCGGAAACAATAAATCACGTGTTAAATCCTTTTTCCCTTATCAATTCATCACGTGGGAAAATTACGAAGATGAATTATATAAAAAGGAACCATTCACGAAAGATTCATTTTATTCAGCATTAACTCAAGAAACAATATCCGATTCAGATTATCAAATATATCTCAATGATGCTAAAAATTTTGAGAATAGATTAGAATATTTTATTCATTATTGCAATAAAGACGTTGAAATTATGATTGACCCAATTGATAAAATTATTGAAGAAACATTTGTTTATAAAATTGACATGCTTCATAATCTTTCTTTATCATCGAATGCATCAATGATTCGTTACGCTTTAGCATATAAAGACTTTAATCCTAATGAAAAATATCCTGAGGAAAAGATAGAATCAAGTTTTGAATTAACGAAAAAGTATTGGAAATATAAAATTGAATCATATAAGAAACAAGATGAAAAAGCAGAAAGGGATACTAAAAACAATGTTTCAATGGATGACTATCAATACTATCACGATTTAATCCTTTCATCTAAATGCAAAATGTGTGGTAAAGCGTTTACATATGCTAATAAACCAACATTGGATAGAATCGATAATGAAAAACCACATACCAAAGAAAATTGTCAGTTAATGTGTTGTTATTGCAATGTCGTAAAATCAAATAAAGATGAAGATGTTCAACGTTTAAGAATCAATTTAAGAAATTATGCATTAAAAAATAATTTACCAATGACTTTAGATTCAGTTGAAGCTTATCACATTCTCCGTAATGGAATTACTGGTGGTCTATCAAATGTTCAACATCGTGTTAATCTTAAAGGAATCACGCACATTAATAAACTTTCATATAATCCAGAAACTAAAACTGTATCAAATGAGGACACCACCAACATTATGACTCATTTCGTTGGAGTTGACTTTAATTCATTATATCCTTCATCATTTTCATCTAATCCTCATGATTTCATTCAATATACTGACCATAAAATGTATATGCCGGGAAGATTGAATGGTGTTATCATTTGTGATACAGCAACAAAGAAAGCAAAAGCACTGGGAATAATTAGAAAGAAAAATACTTTATTCGTGGCTGAAGTAAAGGGTCACATTGATGAAAAATACATTAATGATTACATAAACTTTTTACCAATAATAGAAACTTAGATATTATCACAGATGAAAAAACAATTGGCAGTTTTATGTATAATTACATGAAATCAAACAATCTACCAGTTGACCAGAAACAGAGAAAATTAACTCAGTTAGCATCAACACACAACCAATATCAACCATTTTCTTCTTATTATCTTTGGTATCTAATAGACAGATTTCATTTTATCATTGATGATATTCAATCAATTTTAACATTTACGAAAAACACTTGCTTTAATGAATTTGCGAACGAATTTATGAACGAAAGACAAAAGGCTGAATTAGAAGGAAATAAAGGAAAAAGTTTATTTTGCAAGATTTCACTTAATGGATCATATGGTTACCATTTGTTGCTGGTCTTCACTTAATGGATCATATGGTTACGATGCACTAACCACATATTCCTTATCTGCCTTCTCCTCTAACTCACTAACCACATATTCCTTATCTGCCTTCTTCATTATGTCATTTAGGAAACCTTTTATGAATTCCTCATTTAAATTAAATCTTCCAATCTTCAAAACTTTAGGAAATGCATTTAATGCGTAATATCTTTGTTCTTCTGGTGGAATTGATGTTATATCATCCGTTATACCTTTAATTTTAGAATTCATAAATAAAATTTCTTTTATATTTGATATCACTGCACCACCTTTGCAAACGAATTCAAAATGGTCATTTTTCAATACTATCTCCAAATCTCCATATTTCAACCTTTGTGTTTGTTCTGCCGTCTTTGAATTATATGCATATGTGGCGTAAGTAATGGTCTGTGCCTTAAGTTGCTGTGGTTGTTGTTGTTTAATCATTTATTATGATTTAAAAATAAATATTTAATCTGTTATCTCAT